GCAGCGAGGGCCACCCTGCCAGAGAGCACAAGGCCCCTTGTGCTCCCTATTTATATCCAGAAGTCAGGATTTCCTCTCATCAGAGTGATGTGTGCTCCCCATTCTCCGCCCAGCTACATTTCATGCTAATCTCCCTCGAAGTCCTTTGTGCCAGGTCTTGTGGGGACCCAAGCCCTGGGGCTTTGGAGGAGCCATGCTCTCTGGACCTCCTCAGGGAAGCCCGCACCTGCATGACGGTGTGTATTCAGGTGGATGAGGCCCAGGCAGGGCCCTGTCTTCCCTCCAGGCACCTGACTGCTCTGGGCTGCTATGGAGTCTCCTCCACGTGCCATTCTCCAGGAACAAAGGCAGCACCTGCTTCCATGCTGCATGGACATGGCAGGCAGGGTGTACCTGGCCCTGCTATCTACCCCATCCCACACAAGTCGAGGTGTCACCAGGCTGCCATGGAAATGGACACCCAAGGGGAGATGGGCAGTCAGCACCGAGGCACAGGAATGCCAAGAGAAACTTTCACGGAACCAGTGTCACGACCCTCCTGCTCAGCCTCTAGAGCCCCTGGGATGGCAGGTGTGTGCAGTGCCATCCTGTGGCGTTCTCCTTTCCCTACAAGGATACCCTCACTGGATTGGGGCCTAGCGTTGTCCAGCATGGCCTTATCTCAATGATGACATCCACAGAGACCCTGTTCCCAAGAAGGGCATGTCTACAGGTTCAGAGTGCAAGTGAGGTTTGGGGTTCCCTGTGCCACCCAGTACAGAGGTAAAAGCACCTGATGTGGCAATGTCTTCAAACCCTGGGGGAATCAAATCAGAAATCAGTAACAGGAAAGTCTCCAAGTGCTTGGAAATTAAGTGACAAATATGTTTCCAAATAATCCATAGCTAGAAAAGGAAGTCTCGAGGAAAACAAAACATTGAACAGAATTAAAATACAGGGTAACAGGGTTGGGGCTGTAGCTCAGTGGTGGAGCACTTGCCTTGCATGTGTGAGGTATTGGGTTCGATCCTCAGCACCACATAAAAATAAATAAAGATACTGTGTCCCATCTACAACCAAAAAATATTAAAAAAAATACAAGGTAACAAAGTGAAATTCTAGATGTGGCTAAGGCAATGCTGAGAAGGGAATTTGTAGCACTACATAAATACATTAGAAAAGAAGGAGAGTCTCCAATTATCCAAGTTTCTTTCTTAAGAACACAGGGTTATCTGAGTGTGGTGGTGCAGCCTGTCATCCCAGTGACTTTGGAGGCTGAGGCAGAAGGATCACAAGTTCCAGGATGGCCTCAGCAATTTATCAAGGCCCTAAGCAACTTCATGAGACCCTGTTTCAAAATAAAACAAAAGGGATTGGGGATGTGGCTCAGTGGTATAATGCTTCCCTTGTATGTTTGAAGGTAATGTGGGTTCAGTCCCTAGCACCACCCAAACCGAAAAACAACAAAACCAACCAACCAACCAAAACCAGGGTCTCTCAAAAATAGAAAGGATTAGGGCTCAGTGGTATGTGCCCCTGTGTTCAATCCCCAGAATTAAAAAAAAAATGTATATATACCACCACTACCAAGTGGGGCTTATTCCAGGGATGTAGTGTGTGAAACTCCATCAATGTAATCTGCCATAGTAATGGTATAAAGAAAAATCATCATGTGAATAGATGCAGAAAATGCATCTGACAAAATTTAATACTAATTCATGATAAAACTCTTATTAGAAAAATAGCAAAACATCTAGGGGAAACTAGGCAGAGGGTATGCAGGGTCTCTTCCCCCTTTCCTGTTCATTCCTTCTCCCTCCCTCCTTTTCCAGTGCTGAAGATCAACCCAGGATGCTAAGGAGGGCTCTGTCGCTGAACTATACCCCAGCCCCTTTTACTTTGAGACAAGGTCTCCCTGAGTCACCCAGGCTAGCCTTGAACTTGCACTCTTTCTCTGTCAGCCTGCTTAGTAGCTGGGGTTACAGGTATGCACCATTGCAACCAACCCCCCAATTTTGTTTTGAGGGAGGGATATCAGGGATTGATCTCAGGGGCACTCGACCACTGAGCCACATCCCCAGCTCTATTTTGTATTTTATTTAGAGACAGGGTCTCACTGAGTTGCTTAGCGCCAATCCTCCTGCCTCAGCTTCCCCAGCCACTTGGGATTACAGGTGGGAGCCACTGTGCTCGACCCCGACCCAACTTTTAAAAAGGCAAAATATTTGAGTCAATCTTTCACAACAGGCAAGTGGCTAGGAAGAGATGCCCAGCACCACTGGACGCTGATATCAAATTAGAATTTGGTGCACACACCCGCAGAAAGTCTAGTGATCAGACTCGGGAAACCTGATGCTGTGTGAATGCGGAACAACCCGAGCACTCCCACAGTGGAGGGCAGTCTGGCAGTGTTCAGTGAGTTAGGCTCGTATGTACTGTGTGTTCCAGAAGTTTCACTGTACATATGTCTTTTCCCCTCAAGTACTGGGTATTGAACCCAGGGTCATTTTAGCACCCAAATCCTTGTTGCCGCAGTCTGCCTGGGCACAATTCAGGAGCCACTTGTCAAAAAGAAACTAACTTTATTTTTAGAACTACAAACGCCAAACAAAACAGCTCCTCAGGGAAAAAACCCTCAGAGCCCAACTGCCACCACCGGCTTCCACAAGCCTCTCCTC